TATTTGCCCACAACTGCCCTCCCCTACTGGCCATCTTGTGGTGGCCATCTTGTAAAGATATGAGGGCAGCCATCTCCAGTGGCCATTTTGCAACACCACCTAGGCTTTTATTATATAGATGACAATTATCTGACTGATTTCCCCCATTTTACTGTCAATACTTTGCATTAAAGAGTTATGTTTTATGTATTATCCACTAGTGCCTAGCATGGTGCCTCAGGGAGATATGGAGCAAAAAATTGTTGACTGATAGCTATATGCATGAAGTTGAGAATATTTTACTGTTGCTCAATGGTGTAAGAGGAACTGGAACATTTTAATGGTTGTTATTCTGTCAGCTCTCTAGCCACCTTTAGTGAGCCAGTGGGAGAGGCAATTTTTAATTTGTGAAATGGAAATTTATTTCAATTAATTATAGCTTAAGATATAACATTTGAAAATATTTATACTAAGTCCAAATTAGACACACGAATATACACATATTCAACCTTTAACTTTCTTTTCAATTTTTAAAAATATAGATTGGATTTGCAGGATATGAAAGAAGAAAGAGGTAACTGGCATTACTAGGAAATCCCCAGCATGAGCTTTTTATCTTAGTACAGGCACAGACAGCACTTTTGGGACTATTTCATGTATATTTAATATTCACTTTTATGGTAGCCCTACTTTCAATCCCATCTTCTGGTTGCCAGCCTAATGGCTAGTAGGTCAGCACCATGGACAGAGGAATGCTGTGCAAAAATTGCCTTTTTTATTTTGCTAGATATTTTCCTAATATTAAACAAATATAAATGCTATTTGTATGGTAGAAATGTTTAATTTTATTTTTAATTGCAGTTTACATTTGGCATTATTTTGTATTAATTTTAGGTGAATAGTATAGTGGTTAGACAATCACATACATTACGAAGTGATCACCCTAATATTTCAAGTACTCACCTGGCACCTAGAGTGTACTATGCTAAGTGAAATGTCAGGCAGATAAATATATATGCTTTCACTTACATGTGGAATCAAAAGATCACAACTTAAGGCCGCTTATAAAATGACAGCTGTATAGCAGATGTATTACCTAGGAAAGACAAGTTTGACTGTTCCACGGGGATCATGAGAAGAGAGCACCCCTGGGAATGGGTCAGATCAGAGGATGGGGTCTTAAGAAAATAACCACTCCTCCAATATGTCTCCAAGAAGCATGATCTCCTTCATTTATTAGCCTATATTTGTTCACCTTTTTCGACAACCTGCTTTTCTGTTCCCAAGGCACCAACATTTTCATGCTGAAGTAACTGTAAACACCTAGAAAATGTGGAGAAAATTTGTTCTTTTTACCTGCCAGCATCTATGATCCTTTTTGCCTTTGCAAACTACCTTTCAAACAAATAAGCTGTGAAAGAAAAAGATACTGAGGAATTTTTTATGCTTTTTTAGGAAGGGTTTATGATTATATTGAAGTTGTATTTTAAATGGGAGTTCCTATCTTTTAGCAATAGATTTTGTTACAAATAAAGTAATATGATGTCTGGGACTTGCTTCAAAATAATCCAGGATAAGGGGAGTAGGTAGACATATAGAGAAGACAAGATTGGCCATGAATTGCTAATTATTAAAGCTGGAAGATAAGAACATGAAAATCCTACATTATGTTTGACAATTTCCATTAAAATATACATATATGTGCGTGTGCATGTGTGCTACTGAGAGGCCACGCACGCGCGCGCGCGCACACACACACACACACACACACACACAAAAATGATTCCTGAAGATTTTATGACCCTGCACCTAAGAGATAATGAAGAGCAGACTCTACTACCTCGCTCCAAGAGCAGCCTAAAGGAGACACGGTTACAATTATTTTGTGAAGATCTGAGAGTTTGTCTTACTCAAGTCCGCGTGATGAACAGGAAGTGCAAATGTCTGGGCGTGATCACTTTCTCTGGAGCAAGATGTCTTAGGAGAAAAGCTTCTAGGAAATGAAACCTCTCATGTATTATACCTCCCTGACAAAAAGAAGCTGGGGTAGCCTGGAGTTGCAGTGCTGAGGCTGAGTGGAAGGAGGGGTGCCTCATCTGTGATGATGGATCCAATGCCTAAAGTTCTAGGTAAAAACCAAAAATAAATTTAAATATAAAATGGGCTAGATAAGCAGAGGGAACCAAAATGTGATGCCAAGCATATCAGGATGGAGAGGAGCTAAAATATAAAGAGAGTGGAAAAGTACAAAAGGAAGGCGGGTAAATATTTCGGGGTGGGAGACGGATAGGATCTTTACATGCAGCAGCCATGTCAGAAGCAAATAAGGAGCTGTCGGAATCTTGTGGATAAAATTTAAAAATGAAAGTAAAAGTGTTTCAAAGCCTGTGAAACTGCACACACAGGAAGAACTGTTCAGATGCTATGGACAGTAGATGGTTGAATGCCAGCTACATATGAGGCACTGCTCTCAACACCTGGAATTTATGGTGGAAAAGAAACCTGCAACACTGAGCAACATTCTAGTAGAAGAGATAAATGTACTTGCCAATTACTTAAAAATGCTTAACCAAAAAAACCATAACCATGATGCTAGCCCTAACACAGGCTGTTTCACTTACATAAAAAGTGAGGCCTCCAGTTTGCCCCAGTCCCTACCATCCCCTATTGTTTACCCTTTTCCTACTTCACTCAATTTTATATCTGCCTGAGCCCCACAGGCTTTTCAGTTTGTGACCCTGGTCTCCAATGTCCCTGGGCTGCTTGTGACTCTTGCTTCTCTTAAAACCACCAAACGGCCCAAGGACATAAAAGACCCTATTCTTGGCTCAATCTGAAGTAACCTTGGGCAATTACCTAATGCCTTGCTGAGATCTCAATGTCTTCTTCACCTCTAAAGAGGTAAACTATCTGCTTTATTGGATTGCTGTACAACTAGAATTGGCACCATCAGCTCTTACTCCTGTTTTGAATCTCCTCTCTAGCATTGCTTCTTTAAAGGAAGCCTCCAGACCTCCTGATGAGGTCAACCCTCTAAAATGCCAGGTTCTCAGCATCACATTCACAGTTGCAAGTGCAGGTTAGTTTGTTGGCTCTTTGACTAATGCCTGCCTCTCCCACCAGGCTGAAAGCTCAGCAAGGCAGGGACCCTGCTTGTACTCACAACCTATCACCATGCCTGGCATAATACAGGTGCTCAACACACATTATTTTAAAGGGAAAAAAGAGCCCTCACCGGTTTGGTTCAGTGGATAGAGTGTGGGCCTGGGGACTGAAAGGTCCTGAGTTGCATTCAGGTCAAGGGCACATGCCCGGTTGGGGGCTTGATCCCCAGTAGGGATCGTGCAAGAGGCAGTCAAACAATGATTCTCATCATTGATGTTTCTACCTCTCTCTTCCTCTCTCTTTCTCTCTGAAATCAATAAAAAATATTTTTAAAGGGCGGGAGGAGGAGGGAGAAAGAGAATGAAAGACAAGAAAGCTGGGTAAGACCATCCTGGCCTACTTCTGTCCGACCCTCCCTCCCAGAATGTCTGTTGGTTAGAGGCACGCCCAGCCCCTGCGCTCCTAGAATGTGCACATACAGTTTAAGCTGGGACTTTTCACGCTGACTTACACACCTGAAACTAATACAATAGTGAATATCAACTCCAATCGAAAAAAATAAAAATATTTAAAGTCACTGCGCTTTGTTTTCCAATAGGCCCTCTACCTTCCGGAACACGGACTTTTTGCTTTGCCCATTGATCTGGCATGTGGTCAGCAGAGGGCGGGGTGGTGAGCACAGGATGGTCGGGGGTCCCCACAGAAGCTGAGAGACCCTGGCAGCCGGAAAGTGAGTACGACCTGGTCTGGGGCTCAGGGCACAGACCCCTCCGGTCACGTCAAATCACTGGGACATCCAAAGAGCCCCGCCAGAACCCCAAGCCAAGGGCGGCCAGGCGGTGCCCTCGCAGGCGGTCCCCTTGCAGGCGGTGCCCCTCGCAGGCGGTGCCCCTCGCAGGCGGTGCCCTCGCAGGTGGTGCCGCAGACAAGGCCGAGGTCGCCGCCAGCACGTGGCCGAGGCGGGAGAAACAGAGCCTCCGTTCGCCCCTCCGCCGCCGGCCCGCGCTGAAAGGACTCCGCAGCGCCTCCCCATGCGGGCACTCCACCTCGCAGATGTCCCCGGGCCTCCCGGGAGCCGAGGGTGAGGGAGGATCCCCGCAGCCCTCCCCGCACGTCCCCCACGACCCCTGGGCATCCCTGCGCCGCAGCGCCTCGGCGTCGCTCGCGCTCCTGGAGCCCCCGGCGGCCGGTCCCCGCGCCGCGCGCTCTCGCGAGACCGCCGTGCCGCCCGCTCCCGCCTCAGCCCCTCGCTGGCGGGAGGGCGAACCCGGGTCCCGCGGCCGAGGTCGCGGGCGGCGCATGCGTGGCCGCGGCTCCCAGCGCCCCCCGCGCAGTCCGCGGGCGGAGCGGAGGCGGCGGTGCGGGGAGCCGGCGGCCGCCCCCGGAGAGGTCGGCTTGGCCCCGCGGCTGCGCTCCCCTCGGGGGAGCCGCCTCGCGGCCTGTCCTCGGCGCGGAGGGTCCGTGAGGACAGCGGGCCGCCTTGGGCCCGGGACACAGACCACAGCGGCGGCCTCCGCGCGCCGCCCGGCCCGAGCCTCGAACCCGGGGCCGGCGGGACCTGCACATCCGGCCCCTCCCACCCGGGCCTGGCCTCCGGGGAGCCCGACCCTGAGAACCCGCACACCCTCCTGGCCTGGCTGTGCGCCCTCCCCGCGGCCCCTCGGATTTCCTCCAGCCTCCGGGTCCCACGGCATAGAAATGCCCCCCGCACGGCCGCACGGCGGGAGCGCGCCTCGCTCGGAGAGGAGGCCCGGGGTGGGGACTTCGGGGCGCACGGTTGCGGTTTCCGGGGCCGAGGGCAGATTTGATCCATCAGCCTGGAGTGGCTGTTCCCGCTGAGGCCGCCTCCCCAGGCTCCCAGGAGGCGGGCTGCCCTCGGAGGGCTGGCCGGACGGGAGGCTGACCCCGGGTGGAGCATGGACGCCCCGCTGGAGGCCGAGGGGTGCCTGATGATGAAGGTGGAGCGGGCCCCCGGGTGGGCCTCGGAGCCTGTGCTGGGAGGCCCGGGGAGCTCCGCCTCGGAGACCTCCCGCCAGTGCTTCCGGCAGTTCTGCTACGCGGACGTGAGCGGCCCCCACGAAGCCTTCAGCAAACTCTGGGAGCTCTGCTGCCGCTGGCTGAAGCCCGAGCTGCGCTCCAAGGAGCAGATCCTGGAGCTGCTGGTGGTGGAGCAGTTTCTCAGCGTGCTGCCCGACAGGATCCAGGCGCGGGCGCGGAAGCAGTGCCCGGAGAGCGGCGAGGAGGCGGTGGCCCTGGTGGTCCACCTGGAGAGAGAGGCTGGAAGGCGGAGACAGCCGGTGAGCGCGCCTTCGCATTTTCCTGCTCAGAAAGAAGGGGTGGGTGAGGCCGGGGTGCGGTGCACGAAGCGCCATTATGGAAGGATAGCGGTGCTAATCAAAGACCTTCAACGTGAATCCACTTGAATAGCAGGTAGAACAAAAAGCTTTGCTTGAAACAGTATCTTGCGAATGAAACTAAACCGTATTCACCTAAATATTAGTTTCAAGTCTTGGCATTAATGGTTCCCAAAAAATAAGTTTTATGCGAAAATGTATGCTCCACGGGGTTTAACTTTTGCAGCTTGATCCTAAAGAGAGCTGCTGGGGGGTGGGGGCGGTAAGGACTTCAGCAGTGATCCAGGGCCCTCTCTAATCCTTCTCCATGTCAGTCCTTGTCTTAGGCTACCTCAACGCCATCATCCCGTCACTCTTCTCCAGTGTAACGGCCAGGTCTGCATTTGTCAGTGGCTTTGCACGATCTTCTGGTTGTTTTTCAGCAGTCCTTCCATTAACCTCATGAAATGATGCCAGATTTGCAGTTTCCCCTTGCAGAGGATTTGCATTTGTGTCAAGTTCTGACTGCCAGCACGTTTCTGTGTCCATCAAGGATAGACATGAGATGTTGGAGATTAAGCTGGCTAGTATGTTTTCATTTCACCAGTGAATTTGTGTTCTGATAACTCAATTCTCTGTGAGCCTACTAGTAGATGTGAGGACTCAAGTGATCTCTGTTTTAATGACAAGAAGACGCTGTACTTCACCCCTGACAGATCTCTTACTAAAGAGCACTCTCCATTCCCTTACGTCCAGACTTATGGACAGACAGTTCTATTAACCCTTAGAGCCTACCCTGGGAATGGGGTGCAGTGTCATTCCTTCTCATGTCGTCCTGCCTTCTTTGCTGTCTTTTTCTCCCTTTGTTCACTATGGCTTTGGCTTTATTTCCCAGGTTTGCAGCCCTGTGCAGTCAGAGAAACAAGCCCCACGTGCAGCAGTGTGGGATGTGGCAGATTCTCCCCCAGAGACCCAGCCCGGAGTGGTATCCCGGGAAGAAGCTGGAAGCCTGCACTCAGGACACCAGGAGCAGCCGACCCCAAAGAGAGAGCTGCGGCCCTTACCCAAGAATGGTAAGAACTCAGATTTATTTTGCAGTCCTGCCTGTGGCTTGCTCAGAGTACTGTCCTCTCAATACATATTTGAGAATAAATTGAATGTTGGGGGAAAAGACTTTAATATGTGAAGGATAGGTAAGTAAAAGGGATCTCAAAGATTGAACCTAGAAAAACTGCCCAAACAGGCCTTGAAGTCTTGTAGTGTTACTTAAGAATCTCCATTCTGTAATCAGCTTGTGTTTTTAGTCCTGCCATGTGTATATGTGGATGTGTTCTTGGCTGACTACAAAGAACTTGAAAAACTGAAAGGTAAATAAGACATTTATTTTTAGAAATTGACTTATAAGGTAGGCATTAGGTAATTGGCATATGAGAAGGATAAACATAAGACCTCATAGAGAAGGGGCACTGATGTTCATAGCTGCTCGGGTCATTCACAATTCAAGTCAGACACAAGGAAACGGGCACCCTGTCCTTTGCAGGCCACAGAGATCTCTCCATCCCTGGCAGTGTGGTGTCAGGCTGAAAGAGAAGAATGGAAAGATCATTGAACCTGCTGTAAAAAGACAGGCTTACATCCTATCTCTGCCCCTCCCTCTCTGATCTTGGGCAAGTAATATTAACAAGAGCATTAATGCATAGAAGTGACAGACAACCTGGGTTCAGAACCCAACTCTGCCATTCTTTATCTGTGTCCTTTGCCAGGTAACTTCTCAAACTTTCATTCTGTCATTTGTAAAAGGAAAATAATGAGGTTGGTACAGATTAAATGAGGCATTGTAAGAAAGCCAGTGCACAATAGGGCTCAGTTAATGTTAGTTTCCTTTCTCCCATAATGGCATGATTATTTTTAAACTTCAAATCTGACTTAGACAACTCCTCACCAAAAGACAAGATCCAGTACTGTATACTGTACCTCCTTTTCCCTCTCAAAATTTATATTATGATAGAATGCATTGCGAATGTAATGGTTTCTGAAGTTTCTAGTATGTGTTCATCAGTATCTAAATTCCCTTATCATGTGGATTAAATACTCCCAGTTACTTTAGTTTAGTCCAGTAAATTCATGGTGTTTCTGGATTTTGCCATCCCAAAGTGATAAGGAATTCCAAAAGTGGAAAGTTTGGTCTGTTGAAGTACTTAGGAGTGTGCAGGATAGAAAATTTGAAGCATAAATATCTTAGGTGAATTCTAAAAGAAGACTTGTAATTTCAGCCTTATTATTCTAAGGGAATAATACGTTTCCAAGGAAGTAATTTGATTTGATTCTATAGAAAGTAGTGTGTAAAAAAAAAAAAAAAAAAAGGTAGTGTAACAAGCTTTTGAATTCTTGGTCACAGTGATATTTATTCTGGAAGTTTTTTCTAGATAGTTCATAAGTAGAAGTTAGACTACAGACTTGCTGTATATAAGTTTGTATATCTTCATTCCATCTTTCAAGGGGTGTATTGCCTGTAGTGTCCAGGATCATGTAGCTTCTTTAGCATACTGATGGGGATTAACTTATACTAGAGGTTACAAATAGATCTGGCACATGCCAAGTCAGGCTTGCTTTGTTTCACCTACAGAAGGGTTTTTGGTTTGGTTTTTGTTTTTTTTTTAATATTTTGTACAAAAGTCCAGATTCTGGCTTCTCTTGAAAAAAATTGGAAGCTTGGCTATACCAGGTCCAAAGTCTCACAGAGAAGCATCATCTGGGACTGAGCATTGCTGTACCCTTTTAACAGGACATGTGCTCTCTGGTTCCCCACACACCTTGCCTGGCCCCTTTCGTGATGTGCTTTATCTGCTTACTCCCTAAAAGCACTAGCATTTTTGAGTCCTACTTTAAGTTACTGAATTCATGGAGAAAATGATCAGTTTATATTTGTTGCTTTTTTTTGTAACATGCTCATTTCTTAAAATGATCAGTTTATTGTTGCTTTTTTGTAACATAGTCATTTCTTAAAAGGACAAGCAGCATGAATTAAAGAACCAGAGCCGGCACACCAATTGATTATTTCTTTTACAGCCTGCCCTACTCCCTGGGTTCCCATCCCTGATGAAGAATGGAACACTATAGATCAGGAACTAACAACCACGAAACTTTCTGTTGGGTCTCAGGTAAATTGTATTGTCCTCCCTGGCCTTCCTTTCTAGGGCATTCAGTCACAATGATTTCCTGTCCTCAGATTTTTATACTCCAACCAAGACACTTTTCCCCCTTGTGCCTTTTTCAGAAAAGATTGGACATTTTTCTGGGTAATGGGACACATTGGTGAATCATCTGTCTTATGATTCTTTATAATATCTTCTGATTCATTCGGTCCTATTTACACTTGGTTCCTTGATTTTAATTCTTTAAGGCCCTTCTGTGCTTCATTCAATATTGTTCATCCTTCAAAGACCCACATGGTTATTTTGGTAGTCATTGCTGTTAGTGTTGTTACAGGGACCAGTGAAAGATGTCCACTTGACGAGAGGTTTTTCCCACAAAAAGAGTGTGCATCAGATTCCTGCTCACAGAGACCTCTACCAGGATATTAGGGAGGAGAGTGTTGGGAACATGGTCTCCCTGGGTAAGGATTCTTTCCCTTTTTGGATAAAAGATTTGGGAATTTATAATGTATTTATTCTACTGATGATAAAATAGTTATAAATGTTAACACTTAAAAGACTTTCATGGGTTGTCAAATCATTTTTGCAATCTAGCTTACTAGACCTAGTAACCATTTATCCATGTTCTCTTGCCTTACTCATTCCTCTGTTCCAGTTTAAAGTTTATATGCTTATAATTTAGTGACTAAAACATTGGAGAAGTGTCATATGTGACTGTCATATTTATATTATCTCAATGTAAACTTACCCACATAGTCTAGACTAAAGACTCCATTCACGAAGTCTCTTAGGAATTTGTTTTTGTTTTACTATAGTAAACCCAACAATTTTTACAGGGCCTGACACATGGGTGGGTGCTTAGCAAATATTTGTTATGTGGATGGAAATCTTATAAATAGAAAAAAATTAATTTTAATACAATAACCTCAATAGTGTGATGTGAATTATTTAAATAGCATACATTTACAGGCACATATCACCATTGATGCGTCACTTTACAAGCAAACTGCTTTAGCAGTAGGACTTCACTCAGATGCAAGCTACAAGTCAAAGACTACATATAACTAAAATTGTAGGCCTAAAACATGCACTAATATACACTAGAGATGTTTCGTGCTATCATACAGTAGCCACTAGCTACATATGGCTATTTAAATTTATAAAATTAGATAAAGTTAAAAATTCAGTTTCTCAGTGGCAGTGGCCACATTTAAGGAATTTGGTAGCTGTATTTAACAACAGTTATAGAACATTTTTGTCATCACAGAAAGTCCCATTGGGCAATGCTACATATGGACACTAAAGTATAGAGATTATAAAATGGAGCATGTCAAACTGAATAAGATAAACCAATAGTTGTTTATAGAGAAAGCAATATTAAAAAAAAAAAAAAAAAAAAAAAGACCAACTGATGACACACTGGTAACAAAGCATTCTTCCCAAAACAGTGGGCATCCCAGCCATCTACCCAGTTGTGTACACTATGGATATTGTCTAGTATTGTCTTGGATCGCACAGCATCCGGACCTAGAAAATGCTGAATTAGTCCTTAGTAAACTCTGCAGGAGTGGGATAAGGACCATATTTTAGTACAGATTTAGCCCAGCATCTTCACATGTCATCCTGGAGTATAAAGACCGAGGCCCAGAGACCCCTGCCCTAATTTTTTATCATAGATTATAAAATAATGGCTCATTGTCTAGTCTATACACATATTTTGGCCTTGCATAGCATTTTAAATTTAAATTTAGTTTGTAAATCTGGATTTCCAGTATCTCTTGAAATAGCAAATGCCAAGCACCATGGACCCACAGAATAAGAGAGCTCATGCTGAATTGCCACCTCATGCAGTTATGTTGCCAACCTAGTCCTTATAGATACTGAACTCACGTTGTCCATACACTTAACTCTCTCATGTAAAAATGAAGAGCAAACTTCCATCTCCAGGGTTCTTTCAGAAGGTTTGATTTGATGCTGTTTCTCTAGGAGAATTCCCTGAAGCCACTTTGTGTGTTACCTAGAGAAGTAAACTAAATTTTACTACAAACTTACTGGGCATTGGACACTTCAGACATGATCATTCACTTAATATTCCCAGCATTCCTTTGAATAGATGATATTACTCCCTAGGAAACTGAGGTTCAGAGAAATTAAGAAACTTCCCTGATCAAAAAAATAAAGTCAGTGATGGAGCTAGGATGCACATTTAAGACAAGTTGCTCTCAACAGTATTGTACAAGAACATATTCTCAGTTTGCTTCCCGATTCTTGCATCACTTTCCTAGTTAGCTTGTCACATGTGTCCAGGAATTCTTCTCATCTCTCCTAGCCCAGTGTGTATGTGTGTGTGTGTTTTGTTGGGGTGGGGAGATCTGGGAAGCAGATATAAACAGACTTTATTTTATAAGTAATAAATACTGGTCAGGAGCATACTCTGAACCTAGCACAGTGTTAGATACCATGAGGGAATCAAAGGTAATAAAATACGTTTCTTGCCTTTTAAGGTTTTCCTTTAAGAACCAGCTGGGGAAATTAGTGGTATATACATGGGAAGTAAAATGATAGTTTGAGTTAGTAGATGATTGTACCAGAGAAACATGTACCAATAACTATAGTGTGCACTGTCCTGGTGGAGGAGGATCCTAGAAGAGAGGTGATTGGCCACATTGAACAACAGTGATCTTTGAAAACAGTGGTCCAGGAGAGCATGCTTCAGCAGAAGGTGGGCATGCAGTAATGAATGATCTCTACATCTAGTATGAAGTATGTTTCTCTCACTATAGGAAGTGCAGTATCTACTTCTAACAAGATAGCCCAGGTGGAGCAAAGAAAGGAGCCATGGACCATAGGTCTACATTACTCTAATAAAAGGAATAGTCTACGAAGCAACTGCATCAAGGAAAAGTCAGTTCATGCTGTTCAGATTCCTGCAAGGAAGGCAGGGAAGATGCGGAGAGAGCAGCAACAGTGGGGCTTAGAAGATGAAAAGATAGCAGGTGTGCATTGGAGCTACGAGGAAACGAAGACATTTCTCGCCATTCTCAAAGAATCTCGTTTTTATGAAACACTTCAGGCTTGTCCCAGAAACAGCCAGGTGTATGGTGCTGTAGCTGAATGGCTGCGAGAGTGTGGCTTTCTCCGAACTCCGGAACAGTGCCGGACCAAGTTCAAGAGTCTCCAGAAGAGCTACCGAAAAGTGAGAAACGGCCACATGCTCGAGCCCTGTGCCTTCTTTGAGGACATGGACGCATTGTTGAACCCTGCAGCTCATGTGTCACCCACTGACAAGCCAGAAGAGACTGTTTCTCTCCCTCGACGAAAGAGAATTGGTGTCGGTGCTAAAGAACAGATCAGTCTGACGGAGGAGGAGGAAGCTGCAGAAGAATCTGATAGTGAGGAAATGGGCATCAAATTCATTCGGAAGTCTGAGATCCGTGGTACCCCCGTCTTGTTTCAGAACCTGAGTGGTAAGTATTGTGCTTTTGTTAGGTTTGAAAATGGATGATGTGGTCCTGTGGGGAAAAGAATAGTCCAAAAGTGACAAGGCCTGAGGAGTGCTGTCATGCACACTTTGCCTCAATCACTGTGACTGGTCATGTAACTAATAGTGTTCTCAGGTGTCTGTTGCTGCCCCCAGTGCAGTTTTAGTATAGCTCTGAGTGGCCATGGAGGGTTCTTTTTGAGGTTAGAGCACAGCCTGGATTTTGAGTACTTGGGACCTATGAAAGGAAGAGAAATGGAGTCAGAGGGCTCTAAGGATCTAACATTATCTGGGATTTTGTATAAAGCAGTCAAGTGTGTTAGATTGCAGTATACTATCTAGAATAACCAGTGAAAGAGTGTGTAAGTAAAAAAAAAATGAGTAGAAAATGTAATTCTAAAATGAGAGAAAAGAGGATATAAACCCAAATATATCTTCAATTGCAAACTTAAAAGACTGTTGTACATTTTAAAAAAACAATTTTACATTGCTTACAAGAGATACATCTAATCTAATGAGGCAGGAATATGCTAATTGACCCTCATACCATCACAAAGATGGAAGTGTCCACAGCCAATAAGGAAGGAATATGCTAATTGACTGCCGCGCCCTCAAAGATGGCAGCGCCCATAGCCAGTAAGGAGGGAATATGCTAATTGGCTACCCCACCCTCAAAGATGGCAGCACCCACAGCCACAAGATGGCAGTGCCCAGTCTCCTTAGCCCCGCCGCGGCAGCAGGCGTGCAGCAAGGCCTGGCCTACCCCCAGGCAGGCCCAGCTACTCCATGCACCTGCCACTGGAATACCCCAGTCCTCTCAGCCCCCTAGCCACCCAGGGCCAGCCAAGACTTGCACTGCCAGCAGTGGCAGCAGCAGAAGTGTGATGGGACGTCACCTTCCCCTGATTGCCTGGTCCCCTCCTGACCCTGAGGGCTCCCAGACTGTGAGAGAGGTCAGGCCAGGCTGAGGGACCCCCCCCCCCCTAGTGCATGAATTTTCATGCAGCAGGCCTCTAGTTTTAAATATAATAACATAGAGACATTGAAATTAAAAGAACAGGAGAAGATATACCATGCACCATACAAAACAAAACTGGTATAGTTTGGGTGCTGGGACATGCAGGACTTAACTGCCAGTTAATAATTATGACAGTAGACACATCATCTGAGTACTCTGAGCTTTAGTTTTCTCATCTGTTAAGTATGACTGAGAATGCCAGGGTTGTTGTTAAGTGAAATGACATGCATGAAGGCATTCTGCAAATGTTAACATGCAATAAAACATTGCCTGGTATCACTGTTACTAGTAATGTTTCTCTACCTTATGAAAAGGTAAGTTCTCAGAACGGAAAAATAAATCAGAAGAGCTGGTGCATGACTATACCTGTTCAAAAGAAATAGCTCTCAGGAAAAAGATTGAAAGATATCTTAAGCATGCACAGGTATTCACCAATCTGGAAATCCATTGATATGTGGGTGGGGCTCTTACAGTGTCTCAAATACAGGAATCCAGTGAGGGACTGGAAGAGACCACCCAGTAAGGTAAGGATAGAAATGACTTTTTCCTGCTTATAAAACACAAAAAGTAGAGTATAACAAACTGTATTTCGACATGTCCTAGAAAGTTTTGTTCTGCTATAAAAGCTGGACATCTGCTTGTCTTAACAGAACATTTCATCTCTCAAAATAGAGGACTCGGTGACCTCAAAAACTACTCTAATGAACATAGTTCTGCTCTTTAAGGAAGACTGGTTAGAAAAGAAATAGGAACTTTGGGGGAAAGTTCCTACTGGGTGTCCCAGACCATTATTCTATTGAAAAAACAGCTAAATCCTTAATCACCAAAGCAGTGTTAGGTTGGGGGACTGCATTTTCATTCTACCAAGTAAACTGAAATTAATATATCAATTTCAGTTAAAAATCCTATTGGAATTTTTACTTTATAGATTCATCTGAGAATTGACATCTGTACAACCTGATTCTTCCTATCCAGAAACATAGTATCTCTTTATTTTTTCTAGTTCTTTTATGTCTTAAAACATTATAGATTTTTTTTATATAGATCTCATTTTTGGCAAAGCTTATACCAGGCATATCATAGTTCCTGTTGCTACTGTGAATGGTATTTGTTTTCTTTTACTTCTTATATTTTGTAATTTTGTATAGAAGCTACAGATTCCTTTTTTTTATATATTTGAACTTTATCCTTGAATGGCAGGTGTACACTGGGGCTACGAGGAGACCAAGACTTTTCTTGATATCCTCCGGGAGACTCGGTTTTATGAAGCACTTCAGTCCTGCCATAGGAAGAGCAAATTGTATGGGGTCGTGGCAGAACAGCTGCGGGAGTGTGGATTCCTCCGGACACCAGAACAGTGCAGGACCAAGTTCAAAAGCCTTCAGAAGAGCTACCGCAAAGTAAAAAATGGTCACGTGCTAGAATCCTGTGCTTTCTACAAGGAAATGGATGCCCTGATAAACTCTCGGGCATCTGTCCCCTCCACCAGCACCCCAGAAGAAGTCGAACCACCTTCAAGGCAAGAAAGAGAGGATATTGAGATTGAACCCCAAGAACCTACAGGCTGGGAACTTGAGGAGTCCTCACAAGAGGAAATAATAGAAGATTCTGGCAGCGAGAGAATGAGTGAGGAAGAAATTGAACAAGAGTCAGAATTCCAGGGACCTCCAGATCTGCAAAACCCAAATGGTAAGGATCATCGAGAGTTGTAGTCTAAAAGAGAGTATGATTTACTGAAAAATTAGTAGATCTGGCACTTCAGTCCTGCCATAGGAAGAGCAAATTGTATGAGGTCGTGGCAGAACAGCTGCATGTCATTCATGAGTATTTATTCATTAAAAATTTGAGTGTCCTGTGCAGTTTGAGGGACAGGGGATATAGTAAAGCAAAGTTTGTATGCTCATGGTGCTTCTATTCTAAGAAGGAGCTTACATTCTAGCGATTCAGTTTTGGGGTTTTCAGCCTCAGTTTCTTCTGTATGAGTTAAGCAATGTTTTATATCTACTAAAAATTTTATGGGGGAGAAAATTTGGAATTATACATGAGAAAAACTCAGGTGAAGGAGGGTGTCAGTAAGCCTGAAACAAACGTCTTGGTGATATGTGATATGCATGAAAAAAGGACAGGCAGAGACCAAATGAGAGAGAGAAGCTTTATCCTGGTTCTCAGCTCCACCTGGGTATTTCCCACTGATGGTTGGAAACCCGTGTGAGCATCTCATCAGACTTAAATTTTCAAAACTAAAATCACCATCCTTCCTACCCCGTGGCTCTTCCCTATGTCCTCCTACAGGTCCTCCACACTTAAAATTTCAGAGATATTTTTTATGCCTTCTCTCCCATTATTTACACCCAGGCGGTAACACTTTTTTTCAACTGTTGTAGAACTTCTGTCTGTCCCTTCTTTGTTTCCTGTAGTCCATACCCAAGGTCAGTCTTTGTGTCTGTTGGCTAGACTGCTGTAAATATCTTCAGACCAATTTTTTTAAAAATATATTTTACTGATTTTGTACAGAGAGGAAGGGAGAGAGATAAAGAGCTAGAAACATCGATGAGAGAGAGTCGTCGATCAGCTGCCTCTTGCACATCCCCCACTGGGGATATGCCCACAACCAAGATACATGCCCTTGACTAGAATCGAACCCGGGTCCCTTCAGTCCCCAAGCCGACGCTCTATCCATTGAGCCAAACCGGTTTTGGCTAGACCAATTTTCTCTATTGGCCTTGTATTAATGTTCCACCAGCCATCCTATCTGGGCTCTTATCTTTCTGTCCTTTCCTGTTGTTATTTCCATTCTGAAACTCTGTGTATATTCAAAATAAACATTAAAGAAGGAGGAAATTCATACACATGCTTTCTGATAATATTATGTTGGAAATTGTAGTATGAAGGCTGAAATTGTACCCTGGTTTATAACTCTGGAAACAAAGTCCTGAGATACCATCTCTTGTGAATCTTGTCTTTTAAGTTGAACTCCAGATCTGTCATCAAATTATGAGGCTCTGTCTGAAACAACTACTACAAGGCTATGACTTCCTTCAGATTCCAAAGCAGTATTAGACCCACTCAGAATGCTTCAAAAGAACTAATTGAACAGTGGCATTGCCAGGGCTTTTTACTTGAATTAATGGAATGACTGATGACAGCCTCCTCCCCACAGCTTATGCCACAGCAGTCCGGCTTGGGACAGAGGGATTTCAGCCATTTCAACTCAATATGTGGAAGGAAAGTAATGTTGAAACTGGCAAGTAAAAACAAGGCAGTATAGCAAAATGCTTATGAGCAAAGGTTTGATAATCAACCAAGTCTGGATTGGGCCTAAGTTACACAACTTGTGAAATATTTATGAATGAAATAACACAGTATCTGAAGTTTGTTTCAAAATAGTCTGGTTAGAGGGAAAGGGAGCATGTAGGAATAGAGATGAAACAAGATTGGCAATGAGAGATCATTGTTAAAGCTGGCGTGTGGTTCATGAAAGTTGATTGTATGTACAATTTTCTACTTTTCTGCATGTTTGACTTTTTTATAGTAAAAAGTTAATGCAAAGCAACATAATTAAGTGACCAGGACAGAATCAGAACCAGAGCTGTCTGATTCCAAAGCCTATGTCTCTTCACCATTTTATGCTCTCTATCCAGAGAACTTCTAAAAAAAAAAAAAAAAAAAAATGTACCCTGCAGTGAACATGGGCTATAGCTGAAAGACTATGGAGAAGATCATTCTAGTTTGGGGAACGGTGAAAACTAAGGTTGAATTAGTGTGGTCTGTGTGAGACAGCCAGAAAAATAGTGATGGGAACATTCAAGAAGAAAGAAGTACTGTTGGGTAGGATATGATTAAATATTGATGCACTTAAAAGTCCATTGGGAAATTTGGGCTTGATTACTAGAATCTACTCTATGCACTAGTGTAATGTAGTGTATTTTAGGACAGAGATGACACTTTGAAAACAGGATGAATTAGAGGGGAATTTCTGGAAGATAAAACAAGTTGCTACCATGTTAATTAGGGCATAGATGAGGAGCAGTTCAATTTAGAAGACATTTCTGAAGGCCTACTTTGAACTAGATATTATTGGATATTCTTGGAACTGAATGAAAATAAGACATAATGGCCGAAACCGGTTTGGCTCAGTGGATAGAGCGTCCGCCTGCGGACTGAAAGGTCCCGAGTTCGATTCCGGTCAAGGGCATGTACCTTGGTTGCGGGCACATCCCCAGTAGGGGGTGTGCAGGAGGCAGCTGGTCGATGTTCCTCTCTCATTGATGTTTCTAGCTCTCTATCTCTCTCCCTTCCTCTCTGTAAAAATCAATAAAATATATATTTAAAAAAATAATTTAAAAAAATAAGACATAATGAATCGGGGAAGAGTAAAAGGACCTGAAGCCAGTGAAGTGTACAGGGATCCTAATAGATGATGCCATGTTTATGTTAATATAGGACTGCTCTGAAACTTTTGTTGTCTTTTTTTTTCAGATTTTGAATTTGGAAGTAATATCAAGGAGGATGAAACACAGGTAATATATAAGGACATGGAGCAGCACAAGATGTTGATAGAAAAATCTAAAAGAGTTGTTTCCCAGAATAGTGATCTAGGTAAATATTGTAAAAAAGAACGTATCTCAGGAACACAATGGGAAAACCATCAAGGAATCAGACAGGGAAAGCCGATGTCTCAGCCTAGAGATTTGGGAAAAGCTGTAGTGCATCAGAGGCCTTTCATGGGCAAGAGACCCTATAGACTTCTCAAGTATGGAGAAAGCTTTGGAAGGAGTACTCGTCTTCTGTGCCGGATGACCCACCAGAAGGAAAACTCTTATAAGTGTAGTGTCTGTGGGAAGTGCTTTGGTAGAAACAGGAGCCTCATCAGACACCAAAGAATCCACACAGGAGAAAAACCTTTTAAATGTCTTGACTGTGGAAAAAGCTTTAATGATTCCTCAAACTTTGGTGCTCATCAGAGAATCCACACAGGAGAGAAGCCCTACAGCTGTGCAGAGTGTGGGAAGTGCTTTAGTCAGAGCTCAAGTCTCATCATACATCAGAGAACCCACACAGGTGAGAAACCCTATCAGTGTGGAGAGTGTGGGAAAAGCTTCACCAACAGTTCTCATTTCAGTGCCCACCGCAGGGTCCACACTGGAGAGAGTCCCTACAAATGCATGGATTGTGAAAAGAGTTTCAATAACTGTACCCGATTTCGAGAACATCGGAGAATGCACACTGGAGAGAAGCCCTATGGGTATGTCCACTGTGGCAAACATTTCAGTAAGGGTTCTGTTCTGACCAAACATCGGGAAGTCCATGTGAGAGAAAAGCTCCTACCACATCCTCCATCCATGTATTCCCCAGAGAACCCACATAAAGGGAGAACTGACGATTTCAGAAAGACTTTTTGATGACGATCTCTTCTGTTCTTCAATGTCCCTTTAGCCATCCTACCCTGATCTCACTCTTGGGATCTTTTATTAGCTATAAAGTAATTCCCAAGATAAGCTTGAGAAAATAAATAAAATAAAGACTTGGATCCTGTTCTCACCTCTGCCTCTAACTTGACCACTTTCTCCTTTAATAAAAGGGAGAACATAAATTGTCTGAGTTCAGAATGGAATTATCTTCGATATGTTGAGGCTATTGCTATGGAATTGCTATGTCCAGCAACATCAAGATCCTTCCATTTAGGTGAGAGTTGTTTTCAAGAAGATGAAAAACACTGAAAGGTGGTTTCTTTTTTTGTTATGTACCACATGAGATTCTGGATGCAACTTGACCACAGAGTTTCATGTTTGAGTAGAAATTTCAGGAGTCCTACATCAAGTTCATTTTGGTTTTGAAGATAGCCACAAAGGAGACTGAACATTTTATAACTTCCATCAGAAGTCTGTTGCAGTGTACTGTTTTTGTGTCAAGAAGTTGATCTGAATAGTGAGGGTAGAATCTCTGTGTTGTCCCTGAAGTCATGATAGCAATGCTTTGCCCTCCGTAGAGAAGAGAAGCAACTGATCACCTATAATCCTCTGTGTACCAACCTTTTCTGTCTCTGAAGACTGAATCCTCTTGGTTGCTGCTTTCCAGCCTATAAGAATCCAGCCCTGTTATTATTTCCTATATGTCCTACACTTACCTCTTCTTGTTCTGGGTGCTTTTATCTGCTCTTCTGAGCTACCACACTCTCCTCAGATTGACTAGGCTGCATGTTCGTGGGTGTTTCTAATTAAAGTAAAGGATTTTAGAACTTTCTAGTACTCCCCTGTAACTTCTCTGGTTCTTATTTAAAACATGATGTGTGTTGGAATATTTATGCCTCCCAACCTCACGCTTTAGTATAATATTATATAATCATAGTTTTATGAAACTTTAAGGGGGTAGGAAGAAGTAGAGACCCAACACATTAAATATTTCTAAAACCAGTAGGACTCCTTAGGCCGATCAGATAGCTACCTCTGTCCAGACCAGCATTTCCAGGGCTGTTTGTTAAATATTCTCTTTTCTGGGGCTTCCAGATCTTATTTATAGAACATGACCCTCACTGGAGAGCCCTGAGTACTTTATACAATTCTATAGCTCATTAAGTGAAAGCAGAAATATTTATGGAAACTTCTAATCCAGAACACATTAATTTTCTTCATTTACCTGTTTACCTGAAAAATCTTTCTGATAACCCCCTAGCACTGAGCCCAATAAATAGTGAAGGAAGGGTTAAGATGAATAAATAGTTCATTCCTTTCTAGAAGTTAGATGAAATTTGGTCACCCAAGGCTGGTTGCTTTAATAGGGACAAGTCATAGTTTGGTGGAAAGATAACCAGAGTCAGGGTTATGGGTACACGTTTCTTCTGATCTTATCTCTCCTTTGTCATGTGCTCTCTTATTTGAACACATCTGAAGATGACATTTTTCCTTTATGTTTGAATCTGTTGAAACTTGTTCAGCAGAGTATCAAGAGGGGTAGGTATTTTGGATGCCACCATAGGGTGTGGCCTGCTGGAAGGCAGGTGACTCAGGTAAACATTGATAAATGTTCTCCTTTACACTTGGAAATGTTATGCTTGTTCACATCTGAATAGATTAACTTCCTCTGTGTTGTCAGATTTTCTTTCCTTTTTTCTCTTTTATTAATCATTTTTATTTCACAATTATTGTTGACATACATTATTGTATTGGTCTCAGGTGTGTGTTGTCTAAATCATAGATTTAAAGGTAAGTGCAGCTTCGTGTTGGTAGTGTGCTGAGTGAGCACAATCAGATGTGTTAGTGCCAGTGGCGAGTGCTTACACTGTATAGACCTTCTGGAACTCCAACTCTAGAGAAGGTGCACATTAAGTCATCACTTAGTAATATGTACATAGGATTGATAATTATATTGACTGATGCATGATACAGGAAAGGTGATTTATTCAGAAATATTTATTAAGCACCATTGTGTGTTAAGGCCATGTTCTAGGCACAGTGAGGGATACGAAAATGAAAAAGGAAGCACGGTGCCTGTACTCAAGTACCTTGAAATATGGCAGAAGTATTGCAGCAAAAGGTAATGCCAATTACATGCAAGTTATAAAGGTCAGTGACTCAATCATGAGAAAACCACCTTCACTTGCTAAAGTGTTTTTCTCACACCTAAAATCTTGTTCCTTCCCTCTGTCTCTCAGACTTCCCTAGTGGCAGAAAGGTCACACCCAGTCCTTCTCCTGAGGGAGACACTGATTCTGGTGTAGTCTCAGAGGTCTGGGATCAGTTCAGGTGGAGTTTGGATTCTCCTGCAATACTCCTGATTGCAGACGGGCTGCTGAGACATGTATTAAGTTAACTTAATGAAGTTTGTCTCTGTTGTGAGGAGACAGAAAGTCCTGCCCACCATTCCACAAGACTCATTGCATTTTATCCTTTTGCAGAGGAATGTGAACGTCAGAGTGAGTGGTGTCTTTTCTACCACATAGCACTGCTTTTACCACCATTGTGGAGAAAGCTTGCTTTAGAGCTCAGAACCAGTGCTGCAGCTCTGATCCTGAGGGGGAGGGGGGAGGGGGGATACTTTTAAAAACACTGTGATTTTTATAACTTACTGTTTTTTTCCTTTTGTTCTCGCTGCTAGAAAGCCCAACAAAATTTACAACCTACCTTAACCATCTACCTAAAACCTATATTTATTTAACCCTGTCTTCTTCCTTTGAAAATTGTTTCAAATCCTATGTTTTTTAAATGGTATAAAAAACACATTTTCTTTTCTGACACCTTTCCCAAGGCACTTTGGAAACTGGCTTGTATTCCCTGGCTAGGCTTGCTTTGTTACTCTCACAAATACCACTAGTTCTTACTGTTGATTTTATTATACAAACAGCCTAATTTATTCATCTGGAAGGAAACTTTACTTCTTTAAAGAGAAAAACTTAACATATATTTACCCAGCCCAGGCTACCTGCCATGGTGGAGTGAGCATTGGACCAGAAGCCAAAAGAGAAAAGTTTTAGTCCTATTGCTGCCATTTACTGAGTCATTCTACAGATCAGAGCCTCTCTGGCCGAAGCCGCTTAGCTGAAGAGGTTGGACTTGATTGCCAAGACTGCTCTGACTCTAAAGTTCTGTGAGGCTATGGAGCACAGCATGGATGAGGAAGAGTCTGTAAGAACAGGCTGCCTGGCCAGTGAGCCCACTGCCCACTTCAGGCAGAGGGATGCTGTGCGCAGCCCAGGAGAGAAGGAAAGATGGCTCTTGTCACCTTGATAGCCAATGCAGGTAGCTGGCTGAGTAAAGAAAGCCTATTTTGTGAGGTCTGGTGCCCAGTGACAGACAAGACTCAACTGGGGAAGCCGCAGGGCCAGTAGTGGCCGAATGACTGGTGTAGCTACAAGCCTTTGCCCTGTCTGAATTTATTCCAAGTGTAAGTGTCTTTCTGTTCATTGTTTTGAATTGGTGTTCACTTAGATGTCTTCTTGAAAACTTACATGTGAAATAAATGTCTGCAATAAATGACTCATTGGTTTTTGCCTTAATTTGGTGCCTTCTATTAAGGAAGAAGAGAACTTGTCTTAAGAGCTAACAAAAGCTGATGCTAGTAGCTGAAGAGAATTTCAGTCTTATTCCAGTTCATTCTCCTCCCCCACAACTAGTGGGATCTTTTGTGAGTCCACAGCTACTCCTGTGCAGCTGGCCTCTGATAGTAGCCATTGCCATTGTCCCAAATAATGGTTGGCTCTAATTCCAGGGTGGGTTTAGCCTTGGGTTCACACTCCGTGTGAATCTGGGGGAAGCACTCACCCACAGCAGCCTTTTATGGTGGAACAAGACTCCACAACTTCCCCAAAGATACACAGTATTGCTTTTGATTTATTGTTTGGTATAAAGGGTTCCAGTTGCTTCCACTTTCTTTCCCAGTTTCAACTCCATAGGTCACAGAGTCAATAGAGACATTTTGCTATTTGCTGAGCATGTATTTGTCCACTGTTCTCATGAACTAGGAAGAACCACAGGGTGGGCCATCTAAACATGAGCTGGACTCCAGACAAAGTGCCTCTCTCGCCTAGGTGTTGTAGGCCTCTACTCTGAAGCCGACTACAGTGAGGCCCAATTATAGCTGCTCAGACAGCATCTAGGCGCCCCTGAAGTTTCCCATGTTTCCCTTGAGTAGACAGCCACAACCTTTTTGGAGGAAGCTAAGATAAAGGTTCATATATGGTGACCTATCTGAATTCTCCTACAAGATTACTGACAACCCATTCCGTTAGATCTGTGCTCTGACTTAGGCTTGGAATTAGATGAGAGACATTAAATCTCTAAGAGCCATAAATCTTCAACTCCTATAAATCAGTTAAAACAGACTTTGAGGGAGGAGAATGAATGCTTTGTTCTCGAGCACTAATAGGAACATAACTAGTCACAACTTCCAAACTCCATATTGGGCCCGAGGACTCGAAGAGAGGCAAATACCTAAACACCCTGAGGTGATGGACTATGGAGGAGAATGGCAGTGTGGGAACAGGGAATGGGGGTCAGGCCCGAAAGGCCTCGGCCTTGAGGTTGCTTGGATGCAGCACAAAGCCTGTGGAACATGCAGTTGTGCTTGGCGTGGAAGCTGTGGAATTGTCATAAAGGGTCTCTCTTTCAAGCAACTCCCTGGCCTGGTCAAATGTGACTTAGCACTAGCACACAAATCTGAGGACCACTCCTCATGGGGGTAGCAGATCAGGCACAAATATATATATTTCCATGAGTAGACTGGTATACTTGCCTTTCTGGATTGCTTAAGCTCCCAGAGTTCTTGGAAGATCTGTTGAGGGAAAAGTGCAAGAATCTTACACCGGGCTTCCCAACAACATGGCATGTGAGGGCTCAAGCTAATTCTGGCAAAAAGGAAGGAATCAGTACTTCTTCCCCAAGGTTTTAGAACAGGACATGTCTATTGCAATAGGAAGAACACTAGACGATGTCTAAAATCCTGGATGATCTCTGTCACTAGGTCACTGTGTGAGTATAGTCAAATTATCCAGCCTCTCTTGGTTAGGGTTAGACAGTATGAGTGCTTTCCAGCCTTTCCCCATCAAGAGGCTCAAAGAGCATGACTGAGCAAATGCATTTGTACCAAGTCCATTTAGAAACTCCACCCTCTTGCTAAGATTCTGATATCTGCAAGCTGCAGAACGTTTGATTAGATGATAGTCTATATATATAAAAGCCTAAGCGACCATGTGACCATCCGACCAGTAGCTATGACACACACTAACCACCAGGGGACAGACACTCAACAAAGGAGCCGCCAAGTTGTGGTGGCAGCTTCAGTTCTCGGGTGACACACCCAAAACCAAAGAAGAGGGAGCCCGATACTGGGTTGTGTCACCCAATAACCACCTTCTTGCAATCCAAGTTCCCTCAAGGGATGTCATAGAGCCAGTTTCAGCCCAATATCCACAAGCCAAGCCAAGGGATCCCACCGGTGCACAAATTTATGTGCTGGGCTTCTAGTAATAAAAGAGCTGACAAGTTGTCCACTCACAATCTACTAGGCATTCTGCTCACAATTCACAAGAATTATATTTTGTTCTCACAAGCATTCTGTGGCAACATTGCCATTTTACATAAAAGGAAGCGGGCTGAGGAAAATTAAATAGCTTCTTCAAGCTTATACAGCAAAAACGTGAATGTTCTAAGCTTTAAATTCATCTTTCTCAGAATCCAAACTCATAGCAACTACCTTTTACTGCTACTCTAACATTTTAAAATTCTGTTACCTTGAGTGTGCTTTCCCTCCCCATAGTAGGGCTGTGCCTTTCCCTTTTCCTTTCCCTTCCTTTTCCCCTCTCCAGGCATCTTACCGTTAGCTTCCTCATTCCCAAGTTCCAAGGGCCCTTTTTTGACCTCTAGAATTTGCTTGATAAGCCCATTTCTTTTAGGAATTACTTTTTCTACCTCTGTAATTCACTCAATAACTGTTCTCTTACAAAAATAAATAAAACAAAGTTTTGTGACCTTGTTCTTGAGGTGAACTTAGGAGATATGGATGAATTTTGGGTTGTGCTCAGAATGAATTTGGGAGTTCCTCACATCAGCCTGTGCATTCTTTCAGCCCCTTCTATGCAGCAAGCACTAAGCCAAATGCAGTCACAAAGATGAACTGACATCAATCTGCCTCTTGAGAGCTCATGGTCTAGAACTCAATGTGAAGTCCAGGACTTCAAATCCAATTGCAAGTTAGAAATGAGAGGAGTTATGGTGCATATCTTTCTGTCCCTCTCTTAATGGGAACAATCAGGCCAGTAGAAGACAAGGCAGGAACCATATTGTCCCTTTTCCAGAAACAGTCAAGTGTGATGACCAAGATCCTGGACCCTACAGTCAAACACACCTGGTCTTAAACATTGGTTCCACCAACTTGTGTAACTTTGGATAATGTTATCTCTTAGAATTCCCATTCTCCTCTGGAGAAGGGTAAAATAAACTACCTGTATTAGTTTCCTGGGGCTGCCATAACAAACTCCCACACACTTGGCAAAAAAAGAAAAAAACAAACAAACAAAAAAACAAAAACAGAAATGCTTTTCTCACAGTCTGGAGGCCAGAAGTCTGAAATCAAGGTGTCAGCAGGCCTGACCCCTCCAAAAGCTCAGGGAGAGTCCTTCCTTGCATCTTGTAGCTCTTGGTGACTCCTGGTAATATCATGTGGCCTCCACCCTTTTCCCACATGCCTCCTTTCCTGTGTCTCTGTGTGTCCTTTCCTGTCTCTTATAAGGACACACATTGGACTTAGGGCTCACCCTAATCCAGTTTGATCTCACCTTCATTGACCTTTAAGTATGGCCACAAAGATCCAAACAAGGTCACATTCTTAGGTTCCAAGTTTTCATGAATTTGGGGGGAAACACTATTCAACCCAGTACCCTACCTTATAGGACTGCTGAGAGGGTAAGTGAGGTCATGTACAGAAAGCATTCTGCACAGACTGGACACAAACACAATAAATGTTAGCTATACATATGTATGCATTTTGTACGTGTGTATATATGTACTAGAGGCCTAGTGCATGAAATTCTTCCATGAGGAGGTTGTCCTTCAGCCCAACCTGCACCCTTTCCAATCTGGAACCCCTCGAGGGATGTCCAGCTGCCTGTTTAGGCCCGATCCACCGGGCAGTCAGACATCCCTCTCACAATCCAGAACTGCTGGCTCCCAACTGCTCACCTGCCTGCCTTACTGATTGCCCCTAATCCCTTCTGCCTGCCAGCCTGATCACCCCCTAACCACTCCCCTGCCAGCCTGATTGATGCCTAACTACTCCCCTGCCACCCTGTTTGCCCCTACCTGCCCTTCTCAGCTGGCCTCATCACCCCTAACTGCCCTCCCCTGCAGACCTGGTCACCCCTAACTGCCCTCCCCTGCAGACCTGGTCACCCCTAATTTCCCTTTCCTACAGGCCTAATCCCCCACAACTGCTCTCCCCTACAGGCCTGGGTCCCACACAACTGCCCTTCCCTGCAGGCTCAGTCATCCCCAACTTCCCTCCTCTGCCAGCCTAGTCACCCCTAATTGCCCTCCCTTGCAGGCTTGATTGCCCCAACTGCCCTCCCTTGCAGGTCTGGTTCCTCCCAACTGTTCTCCCCTGCTGGCCATCTTGTGGTGGCCATCTTGTGTCCACATGGGGGCAGGATCTTTGACCACATGGGGGCAGCCATCTTGTGTGTTGGAGTAATGATCAATCTGCCTATTACTCTTTTATTAGATAGGATAGAGGCCTGGGGCATGGGTGGGGGCCAGCTGGTTTGCCCTGAATGGTGTCCCAGATTAGGGTGGGGGTTCCCTTGGGGCATGGGGTGGCCTGTGCAAGGGGCTTATGGTGGTTTTCAGACTGGTCACACACCCCGGCGACCCAAGTGAAGGCCCTGGTATCTGGGATTTATTTATCTTCTATAACTGAAACTTTGTAGCCTGGAGCGGAGCCAAGCCTCCTGCAGTCTCCGTGGCAGCAGCCATTTCTGTTGGGATTTATTTATCTTCTATAATTGAAACTTTGTAGCCTTAAGCAAAGACCAAGCCAGGCCAGGGCAGGTGGAAAGCTTGGCTTTCTCCATCACCGAGGGCAACCTCCTGCTTTCTCCAGCTCCATGGCTGCCACCATTTTTGTTGGGATTTATTTATCTTCTATAATTGAAACTTTGTAGCCTGGAGTGGAGGCCTCAGCTGGCCAGGATGTGCAAAAAGCTTGGCTTCCTCCATTGCTGGGGAAACCCAAGCCTCCCTCCTGCTCTCTGTGGCCACAGTGATCTTGGTTGGGTTAATTTGCATACTTGGTCCTGATTGGCTAATGGGCGTGGCTTGTGGGTGTGGTCAATTTGCATGTTACTCTTTTATTAAATAGGATATGTATGCATATGTAACTACTTTGTTACTTACTAGATTTACCAAAGATTTATTTTATTATTCATTTCACCAAAAGAAATGGTAACTTTCAATATTGTTTGCTCTTTGTGAGTGTTCTAATTTGGTTGTTTCTGCTTCTATCATATTATTTTTTTCTTTAGGCTTGTGGTTATTATTTATATTTGTCTTTCTCTTTTTTTTCCAAAGATGTTCTGGATGTTTGGGGTTATAGATTCATTTTCTCAAGAGGCAGTCTCTTAAATTTCACTCCAGTGAATATTTTCTTTTTATTCGGGTATTTTGATCATCTTGTAGAACTGGTAAACTTTTTGTTTGTTATTGAGAATTATTGTTCCCTGGAACATTTTTATGTTGCTACTAGAGGCCCGGTGCATGAAATTGCACACTGCGGGGGAGAGGAGAGGGGAGGAGAAGTGCTCCCTCTGCGTGGCCTGTGCCCTCTCATAGTTCAGAAGCCCTCAGGGAATGTCTGACTGCCGAGGAGGTGGGAGAGGCTCCTGCCACCACCACTGTGCTTGCCAGCTATGAACCCAGTTCTGGTGCACTGACCACCAGAGGGCAGCTCCTGCATTGAGTGTCTGTCCCTGGTAGTCAGTGTGTGTCATAGCAACCGGTCATTCTGCCATTCAGTCAATTTGCAATATTAGCCTTTTAGTATATAGGATAATGATCATTTTCCATAAATGACCCATAGATTCTTTTATCTACTTACAATAGGTGAAATTCAGAATGTGTCCTTTTATCCTTTGTTATCATTATACTCCACCTCCCATCCAAAGGCCACTGTCCCTCCAGACCTCTATTAAGCTACATTCCCTGTTTGCTAGGAAATCCTCACAGGTCTGGGCCCCCCCAACACCCACACATGCTGAGCTGGAGCGCAGTGAGTGGGCCAGTCCATGTCCTGGCAGTCTTGGTGCTTTTAGCAGTTCCTGAGGTCTGTGATCTGGAATTGATTCTCACCAACATCCAAACTGGATTCTAGATTGGACAGAGCTAAAATTGGACAGTGCCAATATGTTGGCACTAGATTCTAAGCTCCACTCAAGCCTTCACGAGTGGAGGTGGACTCGTGCACCCTCCCAGCAGTGCCCATTTCTGAAATGAAAGGCAAGCGATGGCACATGGAAGGAAATACGGGACTATTTATTGCAAAGCTAGATTGGGAGGGAAGGGAGAGGGAGGGGGACGGGCGGAAGTGAACTGATGTACATGGACAGCCACCTTGCCCAGGCACTCTTCTGCTCCTGGGACTGTCCCTGTCAGGAAAAAATTTCTGACATGCTGTTTCCACCTCCCTCTGGGCAGTGCTGGCCACGTTGCCCAGCTGGGCACCAGGCACCCCTCTGAGCCAGAGCACCGCGGGGTCTAACAGCAGGCCATCCAGCGAGGAGCCAGGCCCTGCCAGGGAAGGAGCCGCGCTCCCTGGGACTGTGCAGTGGCGGGCAATGCAGAACCTGGCGAGGACCACGGGCACCAGGGCCGCAGGAAGCCCAGCATCGGCCTCAGCGTTCCTTTAGGATGAGCCGAGTTTTCCCGTCTCCAATGAAGAACCTACAACAGCAATGGCCCAGTGAGTCTCTGAGCCCCAGGAGGAGTCACCCAGCCCCTTGTTCATCTCTCCAGGCCAAGTTCTCCAGAGAGCTGCCTTCCTGAGCTTTTCCAGCCTCTACCTCTAGCTGGGGTGGCGTTGGGGGCGGGAGGTGGTCTCTGCTTGGCTTCAGCTCTTTTCCATGAGACACTCAGCTCCACCCTCTGAAAGCAGCAGGCAATAATCAGGGATGCTTTGCACTAAGCCATGGGCTAAGGGGTTCAGGCTAGGCCCACCTGCTGGATCCCGGAGGCTGACAGGAAGGGAGCGAGTATCCCTCTGACAACATCCACCTTACTATCCACTGCACAGCTCGTGGAGCACTGTCCACGCTGTTCTAGGGGATCGAGGTCCCTGCCATGCGTGCTCATGGGGCACCGTGTATGTGGTTTTCCATGTGAGGAGGGCCCCCTGGCGTTGGATGACCCCGTGCAGGGAGCAGCTCCTCCCCTGCTCTTGGACCTCACCCCAAGGTCAGGATCAGGCTCAGGCTGCAAACTCAGCCAGCAGCAGTGCTTGGCCCCAAGGCCACGTGACTGTCTCAGGGGTAGGTTGATGCACCCTGGGCAGCCACACCAGTTACCATCGACCACAGCTGTCGTTCTGTTTCCTCTGACCTGCCGAGCGCCTCGGCCTCTGCTGGGGAGCCCCGTGCAGAGGACCGTCTGTGGGACACATTGTTTGGGCACCTGCCTGGCCGGTGCTCCCTGTGCTCTCTCTGTTAGTGAGCCAACAGGTTCTCCTTCAGGCCACGCTGTGCTGAGAGGGGTTTCTGCCACTCGCTGTCAAAGGCCCCAGAGTCATGACGTTTGCCTCTGAGAACGGCTCCCTCTGCTCCTCTACACACTCAGGTGAGATCTCATTGCCCGCGGCCTGGACGCTGCGGGAGCTGTCACCCGCTGCCCGCCCCTGGGCAGTGACCGCCACGCTCTTACCTGACGAGCGCTCCGGCCAGCAGGCTGCCCAGCAGCGGGCCCAGCCAGTAGATCCAGTGGAAGGCCCAGTGGTTGGCCAGCACCGCCGGCCCAAAGGCCCGGGCAGGGTTCATGCAGGCTCCCGACACGGCGCCCCTGCAGACAGCAGCCACACTCGTCCCCAGATCCCGGCCAGGCCCGGCTTCCCTCAAGTTCCTTCCCCAGCCAGGCCTACCTCCCACACCTCCCACACTCCCGCCCTATCCCGGGTTCTGGAGGGTTCCAAGAAGACAGGTAGGGGCGGTAGCGCTGGGCAATGAAAGGCTGGCCCCTCCTGGGGCACAGCGTCGGCCACACCCATGCCCGCCCAGGAGGACGTCCACAGGGGTGCCTGGGCAGCAGGAAGGGACAGAGGGAGGGGGGTGCAAGGTTAGGGGGGAGGCAAAGTCTCTCCAAAGTTGATAAAGCCACGTTGAGCAGTTGTCAATCATGGGAGCTCTGGAGTCAAGCGGACTTAGGTTCAAAGCCCAGCCCAGCTATGCCCAGCTTTGTGACCTCTAACCTCTGTGTTTCAGCGGAGGTGAAAGTACTCTCTCATGGGCTGTCAGGAGTCAATGAGAAAACGCATACATAGCCACGCCTCGCCTGCGAGCCGCACACGTGTGTTTAATCTAGGTGACCCGGCGGCTCCTCTAGGGGCTGTGGCCCAGTCCTGGTGTCTGAACTTTGTCTCTTCTCTCAAGCTGGTCCTACAGACTGTGCTCCACACCCACCGGCCTCCAATAACCGCTCAACAGGCTTGTAAGTGAGCCAAGAGCCACTAGGGGGCAGCAAAGCATTGCCACACTTTCCACAGGTTCACAGATCTCCCAAGGATGACATGGGGGAGGGCCGAGCAGGGAAACTGTCCCAGAGAAAAGAAAGAACTGGACATCAGGGGCTCCTCATCCCCTTCAGCAGGATGTGGGCTCTGGTCCCAGATCTGTCACTTAATCTGCTGCTCCCCGGGGACCTTCAGTAAGTCCCTGTGTCCTCTCTGAGCCCGTCTCCTCTTACATACATGAGAGAACTAACACCTCCCCAGCCTTGTCTCCGAGTCCCTTCCCAAGCCCTGAGCGGCCCCACACAAATGAGATGGTGGTGAGTCAGGCTGAAGCCTGGCTGCCAAACAGCCTCAGAAATGTTTACAGAAACACAGAGATAATTTCACATAAAATCCAGTCTCCTGACTCCCGTGGAGTGGAATCAGAAGGCTCTCGCCAGGCTCCTCCTACATGGCAACAATTTCCCAGAAGGAATAATGGTGCCTCCCTGCCACCTGCTAATGCTTGGCCACATCTCCCATTGGCATTCCCTTCCCGCCCTGTTGGTATTGGAATCCGTGCCCTCAGGTAAGCTCTGCAGGCCCGACCCCAGAGCCGGGCTCAGCCCAGGCTGGGCACTGTAGCCCGGAGCCGGGTCGCACTCACCCTGCCAGGATGTCCACGGTGACGGAGAACCCGATGGAGAATGGGGCCAGTGGGCCCCGCGTCTTCTCGTTGATGGCGCCCATGCAGACCGCCAGGACCAGCAGGGCGGTCAGGATGACCTCTGCCAGCACGGCCCCCGCCACCTGCCCCGGCTCCTGCACCGTCACAAAGGCAGCCCCGGACGCGTTCCAGAACCTGTCGCCGGGACTCACCGCCTGCGGAGAGAAGCCGCTCAGCCCGGGTGCAGAGGGCCGGGAGCTCACGCCCCCCGCAGGGAAGGGTTTCAGGGCCACAGCCAGCTCCAGCATTCCCTCCAGGTGGCAGTGTGTGAGCTATTGGGCTTCTCGGAGCTCGCTTTGCTCATCTGTGAAATGGGATAACCGAGCTGTGGTCCCGATGGGCCTGAAGCTTCTAGGGCTTAGATGATCCTCTTTGAGGAAAAGAAGACAAAAATACCTTATTTTTACAAACTCGAAACACACGTGACCAGGATGTTGCTAACCCTTAAGAAGTCCCTTCAAGGGGCAAGGAGGGCCCCGAGGCTTAAGCGCTGTGGGAGCCAGGAAACCGGCCTCAGGGCCGTGGCAGCACCAGGAGAGGGAAGACAGCAGAGGACCACATTCTGGGCCCTGGCCCAAATCTGGGCCATGCAGCTCGCCAGTCCTGCGCCTGGGCGAGGTACTGACTTCCCTGCGCCTCGCTTCCTCCTCCAGAGAATGGGGGTGGTGACAGCTGCGTACCAGGTCATGGCGCCCTCTAGGGACGGACCTGGCCTCTGGTTGGGAAATGGAATGGGCAGGTGTGCCAAGCTGAGGAGGGTGGGGTTGGAGGGAGAGCCTGGGCACTGCTCCCCATCAAGGGTCAGAGGTGGAGGTGTAGGCGGGCATGGGGTCTTACATGGGGGCATGGGGGGCCCAGGCAAGGAAAAGCAGTGTGGGACTTGAGACCAAAGTCTGCAATGGGCCAGATCTTAGAGCCACCATCCAAACCCAGCCAGCGAGCAAGGCGACCGGGCCCGCCTCTACCCTCCCACTCACTCACACGTGCCAAGCAAGGCCTAGATCTTGAAGGAATCCTAGTTGGACTGACCCTTAAGGGAAAGGAGAGGGGGCGGGGGGAGAGGGAGAGGGAGAGGGAGAGGGAGAGGGAGAGGGAGAGAGAGAGGGAGAGGGAGAGGGAGAGGGAGAGGGAGAGGGAGAGGGAGAGGGAGAGGGAGAGGGAGAGGGAGAGGGAGAGGGAGAGGGAGAGGGAGAGGGAGAGGGAGAGGGAGAGGGAGAGGGAGAGGGAGAGGGAGAGGGAGAGGGAGAGGGAGAGGGAGACAGAAAGAAGGAAAACAGAGAATGGAAGAAGGAAGGGACGATGGAAGGAGGGGGGGAAGGAGGGAAGGAGGGAGGGAGGCAGGGAGGGAAGAGGGAAGGACAGCCTACGGAGGGACACAGGGAGGGAGGCAGGCGCTATGGAAGTCTGGTGACAGAAAGGAAGAGCCAGCCTTTGTGCAGGGGTGAGAGGCTTCCGTGGGGAAGGTGCATGTGCGCCCCATGGAAGGCGGGGAGCTCGGGGAAGGGAAGCTGGCAGCACAGGGAGCAGTGGGCTCAGGCTCCGGGGAGAGAGCTGTCCCCGGGCAGCCCAGGAGGGGGGGGGGGGGCAGGCGGCTGAGCGAGTGGCTGATGACACCTGCGGCCTTAGAACCAGCAGGCCCGCTGCGGGCTGGGGAGGGACTGGGAGGAAACCTCCGGCGGAGCCCTGCCCCCGCTTCCCGGGCGGTCCAGGCGGAGAGAGCGGGTGCGTTTGGAGAGAACCAGTGTCCCGTCCCAAGTCGAGAAGGCCCCCCAGCCCCCCTGGGGGAAAGAGGCGAGTTGGACAGTCCCAGCCCTGCCCCCAGCAGCCCCACCCCCAGGGGATCACCCACCTTGGCCAGGGAGGCCCCGAGCAGCCCCCCGCACAGCTGGGACACACAGTAGGGAAGCAGCACCGTCAGGTTGAGGCCTCCAACCAGCATGGCCGCCAGGGACACGGCAGGATTGAAGTGTCCACCGCTGTCACCGCAGAAGCAGGAGGAAGTCATGAGGCCGAGGCTCAGGCTGGGCGAGGGAGTGTGTCCCAGCTCCCCCTTCACCCTCTCGCCCTGCGCCTGGGGGCCCATCCACAGCCACAGGCACCCCCCCGCCCCTCCCTCAGGTGCCCAGTGGCGGCCTGGGGCCTGGGCGAGCCAGGAGGGGGGCTGAGTAGACGTTTGTTGAGAAGCCAGTGACAGTGAAAGGCTGCATCGTAGGGAGCGGCCCCCTGAGGTGCACACAGCACGGGCTCCGGGCCAGCGGCCTGGGCTCAGATCCAGCTCCACCTCTGAGCAGCCGGGGGACCTTGGGCGGCAGCGCACCTCTCTCAGGACCCACGTCCTGCGGCTGCGGCGGAGACAGAAGGAAGACATGGGCGTGCTCTGCTACATACAGGGGTACCCGGTGAACACTCGCACCCCTGACCCCCCGGCTAAGATGTCTCCACGGCACCCCAGGGGGCAGGTCATGTGCACTTCAGGCCCGGGACGCTCCAAGGAAATGCCAACGTCCTCTTCCCCCTCTTCGTCCGGAAGACAGAGGTGGTTGCTTCACTCGGATCCGCTCGCCGAGGGGGACGAACACACAGCCGGGCCGAGAGGCCCCGCCAGGCGCCCTCACTGAGGCCAGAGATGGGGGGAGGGGGGGGTTCCTTCCAGATGGCGCTGTGCAGAGCCCCCCACCCTCGGCTCACCGCCTGATGGGCCGGGACCACTCGGTGGGTGGGAAATCCCTCTGGCAGCTGCTGTCCCGGGGGAACCCCGAGGCTGGAGCACCCCTTCTAACACAGCCCCAGAGCAGCCAGGGGGACTGAGCCTCCCATTGCTGCGTTCCCCCGTGCCCCCCCCCCACCCTGCCCCCACCCCGGGCGCCACGAGGCTGGCTCTGCCGCTTATGGCGCTGTAACCTCACCAGGCCGCTGCCCTGTCCCAGCGGAGGGGTGTGAGGGCGCTGCCCGGGGCTCACGCTGCAGTGCTCGGCACCGCGCACCAGCACCATCATATGCGGGGATAAAGTCATTGTAAACGCCCCTGGGGTCCCATTTGCTGGGTGGAGGGGTTCGGATTGGAAGCGTGACTTGCCCCGGGGCTCAGAGCTTGTGGCTGCGGGGCTAGATGGGCGCCCTCAGCCGGAGTGGGTGCCCGGGGCTCCCTCTGACCCTCAGCTGCAGGCGGCACCGGCTGAGGGGGATGGAACAGCACCCTCACCTGACGTTGCCCAGCGTGGCGACCAGGAGGCCCAGCGCCAGCCCGTGGGCCAGCGCCGGCGGCAGCAGCCCGGCTTCCGGCCCGTTCCCGATCACCGACAGGCAGCCGATGAAGACAAAGAGGGCAGAGCCCAGCAGCTCTACCAGGCAGGGCTGCACCAAGCGCTCGTGCCACCACGTGTGCCCCCTGCCTTCCACTCTCGGCTCCTTCCCGCTGCCGAATTCCAGGTCCCCCATGGACACGGCGCCCTGCGGGAGGGAAGGGAGTGGGCCTGGGGGGAAGGCTGGCCGGGGGCCGGGGGAAGCCCTTCTGCCCCCCAAGTTACTCTCAGTGACCCTGGAGGGCAGGGCTGGGAGCCCAGGGCAGCGGGCTCACCTCTGCAGACATGAGGCCGGCACACACGGACGGCTGTGCCTGGCTGGCCGGGCGCACCTGCTGGCCTACACACGCTTATCTCCGGCCGGAGCTGCTGATCCCGGCGCAGGCTCTGCCCTTTAACAGGCGCGAGAAAGCAGAGAGCGGGTGGGAGGTGGCCCTGGCCCAGAAAAGGAAACAGTTTTCTTTTAATCTCAGCTGGGAGGGCAGGAGGGCGGGAGGTGGGGTGGCTAAAGATTGCTGAGCTTCCTGCCCACAGGGGGAAGGTGCTGGCTTCGCGGCAGCATCTGGAGGGGAGGCCCAGCCCTGAGGTCACCATCAAGGTCCAAAGCAGAGGACTGTCCCTGTTAGGACCACCCACGGGAGGTTACAGCCGACTCTTCTTCAGGTTGTTCTGCCAATTCCCACAGACATCTCCTCAAAGCGAGACCTGACACCTCCGCTCACGCACCCGACCACCTGATCCAGGGCAGAGCTGTGCCGGGTGACCCTGCACTGACGGGCAATTAGGCCCGTGGAGAAGCCATGGGCGTTAGAAACAGGCCACCGGGGTCCCACCCCAACTCTGAGCACTGACTTACTGTCTCTGCACTTTAGCTCGCTCCCTACGACGTGCGGATGATGGACCCGGGGTTGCTGTGAGGTTTACTGAGTTAGCACATACACTGAGCGGCCAGATTATTATTAGCACCTGACGTTTGTAGGCACATTAGCCGTGCACTGCATCGTATGGGATATGGAAGCCGAGGCCTGTTCGAACACCTGTGCTGTCTGCTTTACCAAGATAAAAAGTCTCCAATCCGCACAGGAACACAGAGATTGGACAGTCAAACATTGAAAAAAAGTCATGTGGTCCGATGAATCATGTTTCCAGTTGCATCATGCAGATGGCAGAGTGAGAATTTTGCGGAACAGCACGAAAGCATACACCCCACATGCATGAGTACAACCCTTCAGGCTGGCAGGGGCAGTGTTATGGTTTGAGGCATGTTTTCCTGGCATGATTTGGGCCCTTTAATTCGTGTGGAACAACATTTGAATTGCACAATATACCTAAGTATCATTGCTGACCAAGTTCATCCTATCATGTTGATGGTGTGTCCCAATGGAGATGGCTTCTTCCAATAAGACAACGCGCCATGCCATGGTGCTCGTATTGTACAGGAGTGGTTTCAAGAACATGAAGGAGACTCTACCTTGCTTAGATGGCCCCCACAATCACCAGATCTCAATCCAATTGAGCATTTGTGGGACAAAGTTAAAAGAGCCTTCAAGCAGCTGATTCCACAACCATCAAATCTCACAGACTGGACAGTACTATTCATCAGACATGGTGTCAGATTCCTCGCATCACCTTTCAAGATTTCATGAAGTCAATGCCAAGGAGAATTGCCACAGTATTGAAGGCAAAAGGTGGCCTAACAAAGTACTGATGGAGTGGTCACAATAATCTGGCCACTCAGTGTATATGTAAAGTGCCCCCGACAGTGCCAGACACATGGTAAACACAACGAGGAGGTGTCTACTAATTTATAACAGGTACTGATGTTTAATCTATATTTACTGAGTACTTTCTAGTGCCAGACTTGGGCTACAGACCTTACACGTACTATCTCATTTAACCTCAACAACCCCACTAGGCAAGTACTATAATAATAGTACATTTACAGATGGGGAAGTGGAGATTCCGGAAGGTTAAGTTTCACAGGGTTTGTGATTGCAAAACTTGTGGGCTATGTCACACAAAAAGGCAAATACTGTGTGATTCCACTAACACAGGGTAGATTCAGAGAGCAGGTACAATGGTGGCTGCCGGGCTGAGGAGGGGAAAGGGAGTTAGTGTTTAATGGACACAGAGCTTCAGTTTGGGAAGATGAAGAAGTCTGGAGGTGGATAGTGGTGATTGCACAACAATGGGAATGCATTTAATGCCACTGAACCACACACTTAAGATAATTGATTTGGTAAATTTACACTACGTTGTTTGTTTTTTTTTTTTATCACAATTGAAGAAAACAACAACACTGAGTTAAACTACTGTACTCAACTGCTATTTAAAATGGAAGGAGGGAGGGAAGGAGCGGGGAGGTAGGGAGGGAGGGAGAAATGGAGGGAGGGAGGGAGGGAAAGGAGAGAGATAGAAGATAGATGCATGAGGAAGAATGGAAAGATGGATGCATGGATGGAAGGAAGGAAGGAAGGAAGGAAGGAAGGAAGGAAGGAAGGAAGGAAGGAAGGAAGGAAGGAAGGAAGGAAGGAAGGAAGGAAGGAAAGATAGGTGGATGGATAGATGGATGGATGGAAGGAAGGATGGAAGGATGGATGGATAGATGGAAAGAAGGATGGATGAAAGGATGGAAGGAAATAAAGAAGGAAGGAAGGAAGGAAGGAAGGAAGGAAGGAAGGAAGGAAGGAAGGAAGGAAGGAAGGATAGGTAGGTGGATGGATGGAAGGATGGAAGGATAGATGGATAGATGGATAGATGGAAAGAAGGATGGATGAAAGGATGAAAGGAAATAAGGAAGGAAGGAAATAAGGAAGGAAGGAAGGAAGGAAGGAAGGAAGGAAGGAAGGAAGGAAGGAAGGAAGGATAGGTAGGTGGGTAGATGGAAGGAAGGATGGGAAGATGGAAGAATGGATGGATGGATGGATGGAAGAATGGAAGGAAAAAAGGAAGGAAGGAAGGAAGGAAGGAAGGAAGGAAGGAAGGAAGGAAGGAAGGAAGGAAGGAAGGATGAAAGTATGGATGGATGGATGGGTAGGTGGAAGGAAGGAAGGAAGGAAGGAAGGAAGGAAGGAAGGAAGGAAGGAAGGAAGAATAGATGAATGGATGGATAGATGGATGGATGGAAGGAATGGAGCAGATATTCATCCATTCAGCAGATATTTAAATACCTGCAGTAAAACAGTCCCCATCTGAGCCATGTGGAAATGCACAGTGAACAGGACTAGCAGGTTCAGGTCCATGCTCACAGCGTCTCTGGGTTTGTATGTACAGATGGAGAAACAGTGACACAGATGCAAAGGTTTTACTGACCCTTTCTACCATTTATTGACTACTCACCACACACCTAACACACTCTGTGTGTATTCATAACAACCCTATGAGATAAGCCTTTATTACTTCTTATCCCATCTTCAGATAATAAAAACAAGGCACAAAGAACTTGCCCAAATGTGTGTAGATAAAAAAGCATCAGCCTCCGCAGAGAAGTGGGTGGACAGCTTGTGGGTGGCTCTTTTTGGATGAGAACCAAATGCAGCGCCTCTGTTGGACATCTGCACGTGCCGGAAGTGGGTCTGCTCTCTGCCTGTTATCTGGAGCCCATGCTCGCCCTCCTGCACTCCCACAGCACAGTGCACCAGATGTATCTTATGCCCTTCCTGCCGGTTCCGCAAATGGCAACATAAGATAGAGGTCCAGCTCTCAACTTCTCCCTCATGCTTTGCCCAAATACTGCCCAATGCTGCTTCTGTAATATTTTTCTCCTATTCTCACCCACGCCTTCATCAGTTCTTGCTTGGTCTCTTGAAGAAAATCAGACATTCAGTGTACTTCTCAGTCATTCACTCCATGCTTACAATAAACCTGCTTCTCCTGCTACTTACCTTCTATTTCCCCCCTTCACAGGCAGAAACTTCCTGCTGGTAGTCCTATATAATAAAAGGCTAATATGCAAATCAACCTGTGGAACAACCTGTGGCTATGATACACACTGACCACCAGGGGGAAAACACTCAACACAGGAGCTGCCCCCTGGTAGTCAGTGTGCTCCCACAAGGGGAGAGCCACTCAGCCAGAGGCCGGGCACAGGGCAGAGCCTCTCACACCTCTGTGGCAGTCAGACATCCCCCAAGAGCTCCCAAACTGCGAGAAGGCGCAGGCAGAGCTGAGGGACCCTCCCTGCCCTCGAGTGCACGAATTTTATGCACCCAGGCCTCTAATACTAGAATAAATTCTCATCTGGTCTCCTTGCCTCACTCCATTTTAACCCATTCCTCTGACACTGGGAGAGAGCAGGCAGGGCACAGTAGGCTCTTGGGTCCAAGGCTTGGGGATCAGACTTCTTCACCTTTGCCCACAGTCTGCTCTCTCTGCTTCCATTTCCTCTTTTATAAAAAATGGGCTAATGGCGGTACCTATCCCCACAGGGTTGTAATATGGGTGAAATGAGACAGTATGCTTATTAGCAAAGTGCCCAATTCAGAGCAGGTGCCCAACATAATGTAGCTATTAATATGGTTTGTATTAATCAGAATAAGCTAACCCGTGTAACAAATAATCCCAACATTTCAATGGCCTCATATACTGAAAAAGGACTCATTGTTCACATAATGGTCCATAGCAGGCTCTTCACCACATGTGACTCAGGGGTCCAGATCACTTCCACTGGGAGACCACCATCTAAGCCCTCAGATCTTCCCCTCCAGCCAGCACATGAGATGGAGAGAACATGGGGTGCTGTGCGGGAAGTTTTCATGGGCTACCCAGGTGTGATAGGTAAGAATTCTGTCCATCAAAAAACCATTTGACTTAATAAACAAATTCAGCAATGTAGCAGGATACAAAATGAACACCTGAAATCTTTGGCTTTTTTATACAAAATAATTAACTTACAGAGAGAGAAACTAAAAAAAAGCAATCCCATTTACCACTGCAACAAAAAAACTTAAGATACCTAAGAATAAACTTAATTAAGGAAGTAAAAACCTGTACTCAGAAAAGCACAGGACACTGAAAAAAAGAGTTAGAGGAAGACATAAACAAATGGAAGAATATAGTGTGTTCGTGGATTGGAAGAATCAACATCATTGAAATGTCCATGCTACCCAAAGCAATCTATAGGTTCAATGCAATTCCCATTGTGATACCAATAGAATATTTCACAGACCTAGAAAAAAATCTCCAAAAATTCATCTGGAATAAAAAAGACCCTGAATAGCTGCAGCAATCCTGAGAAAGAAGAATAAAGTTGGAGGGATCATAATACCAGATATCAAGCTATATTACA